AAATGACTACGAAGTAAATCTAATTAGGATAGAAAAACGGCTTTAATATTTTAAGCTAACACCCACCTTCTCGTGTACGGCAGAATGGAAGAAAGGCTTGCCGCATCATCAATCAGATGTTTTAACGTAACGATAACGCTTTACCTTAATTATTAAGGTAGGCGGGCTTGTATAGATATACGGGGAGTACTGAAAACTGAGAGAATAAACTAGACGAATGAATGGTAAGGGCCTGAACTTTCACGTTTTATACAATCCTAAAATTGCATTTTTTCAAAAACAGGTAGGCAAACAAGAAGCTATTAGTAAAACATATAAAATAGCGCCTGTCCTGTTTACTTCTTGTCCTTGTTTCTGTTGCGCTATTTTATATGTTTTACTAAGATGAACCAACTAGCCCAACAACGTACCTTACTAAAGAAGCTATTAAACGTTTGTAAGTGCATTGCATCTATACGCTATAATTTCTCGTCGCCTTTAATTTTGTACTTACTTTTCGCCTTCTCCTTTTTAGATGTGCAAATCATCATCAACAATTAAGCGTATTTCGTGGAAGCTAGGAATTAAAATGGCTGACGCGACGCAGGATGTGAGGCCGATGGTCAGGCCGTACATTGATCAAAGTAACTTTAAGAATTCGAACACAATTGAGAAAATAAAATTGGTGACACTGAAAACAAAGTGTTCTGTATTTTCCATTTAATGAAGTCAGAAATAAATAAAATCAGGAAGAGAACGAGTATTTCCGGGTGTTCCTGGAAATTATATTATTCTTTTTGTCCTATATAAAAAGCTTCTGGTCAAGCTCAAGCTGCATAAGAGCGACGTTTCCTTAAAAACCATAAATTCCTCCGTAGTTGCGGTAATAAATATATAATTTATCAACGAAAGAGAATAACAAAAATCCCCCCTTCCCCAAAAGAAAAAAAGAAAAAAAAGTGTAAAATATTTTTGGTAGGAAAGGGATAAGAAAAGGTGAAGTCAAAAGAAATGTCAGAGGGGAAACGAAAAATGTCAAATTTGGGGGTTTTACGTGCTAAACCAACAACAGGCATCTGGCACGCCCCAGCGGAGGACTGAGGATTAATTTCGACCACCTAGAGATCTTTGACATGCAACCGAAAGTTCGGTTACACGGCGCCTCCTCCGCAATAAGCCTCCGTCAGATTGCGGGCACCACGGCCGGGATTCGAACCCGCCATATGGGGATTCGTAGGCCAGCGCTCTCGCCTCGGAGCCACCGAGGCTTTTTTTTTTTTTTTTTTTTTGATTGCCTGTTTAGACAAGGACACAAACACAGTCATATGGATAAAAACACATGCACGACGGATGGCCGACGAGCATGAGGGTTAAACATTTCTCACATTTTCTAGCACATTCAGAACTGACACACAGTCAGGTGGGCACTTCAGCGTGGCATAAACTGAGTTCAGTCTGCGGACCGTTTCCACGAAATACATCCACACAGGACGTGCATCAACATCCGCGTGCCGCACAGCCATTCTGCTTTGCCAAATCGCGTGCAAACCCAAAACCATAATAAAATCAACAGGAGTTTCACCATCTTTGTCAACAGGAAGGAATCTAATGCCTTGTGGCGTTAACGGTAACTCTTTTTTGATCGTCCTCTGAAGGACATCCCAGAACAGAAAAGCGTCCCAGCAGTCTAAAAATACGTGCTCTATGGTCTCAGATTTCTTGCACAGAAAACAATGAACACCCCATGGAACAAAAATGTTTTTCTGCTCAAGCCAAGCTTTCACAGGGAGGGTGTTTGTGTGTAAGTAAAAGAAAAAAGTTTTTATACCAGGCGGGATTGCCATCTTTTTAACCCGAGATAACACGTCTTGCCCAGGACTTGACTGGAAAATGGATCGGTACAAAGGGACGGGGAAAACAGTTTCAATGATATCACGCGTTAAACGCTTACGCGTGACACCCGACAAGTATTCAAGAGAGAAACGAACGGACAGAAAACGGAACGCCTCCACCACTTCTCTAAGAAAAATACCAATGTTGCGCTGTTTCCGACAACATGATGAAACGACAAACAAAGGAATTTCATCTGACAGTCTGGTCTGAATTACAGCTCGAAGAAATGGATTTGATTGGTCCCTGAGAAACATGAAGCGCGACACAACCTGCCTGACAAAAATGTGTGATAATGACAACCCGCCATCTTTGACGTGACGAAACAAATTGTCCCTACAAATCCTTTCCCATCTAGACCGCCAGATGAACTCAGCGAAAACGCGGTGCAGCTTTTGCACATTTACACGCGCGCACGCCAAGACTTGAAGCACATACCAAATTTTTGCAATTAAAAAAATGTTACAGACGGTGGCGCGCGTAAATATAGACAACCCCACTTATTACACCTATCGCGTGTTTCCTTGACAACATTTGACCAGTACACCTTCGAGCTTTTATAATGCTGCAACGGTACTCCTAGATACTGCGTAGGCGTTGACATAAAATTTATATCTTGAAATACATGAGGCTTCGTGGCCCACGTTTCATGCCAAAGCCCGCAACACTTTTCCCAATTAACTGCCGCACCGGTCAGGTCGCAGTAATATATTAGGTCACGAACGGCTTGTACGATACTTGCTTTGTCTCTACAAAAAATTGCGACATCATCTGCATATGAAAGCAGTTTGACTTCGTTTCCGTGGAGCGAAAAACCATTAATTAATCTATTCTTCAATATAGTTCTACAAAAGGGTTCTAAATAAATACAAAATAACAAGGGCGACAAAGGGCAGCCTTGCTTGACGGACGACTGTACGCTGATGCGCGCAGACGGCTTCCCATTAACTATGATTTGCGTAGTACACTCGGTGTACGCCATCTTGACAAAGCTAGTTATAACTTCACCCACTCCTACATATTCTAAGATTTTGTACATTACACTGTGCTGAACCCGGTCGAAAGCTTTTTCCAGGTCAATCTGGAGCATAGCTACCTGGTCCGCCTCCTCGTCGCACAGCTCTAATAAACTTCTAGCAATATGCACGTTTGTTAAAATGGATCTACCTTTAATAGCACAAGTCTGATGCTCCCCAACTATTTCAGTAATAACATTCTGTAACCTACGGGCTAGAACTTTCATCAAAATTTTGTAATCAACGTTACTAAGCGCAATCGGTCTATAATTTTTAACGTTCCTTAGCTTTTGGGCGTCATCATTCTTGGGTATGAGTACGGTATGAGTGTTTAGAAACGGAGCCACCGAGGCGGCTAGGGGAAACGAGAAGGAAATAAAAGAGTTCTGTGTTTGGAATATGGCATTACACTCTTAAAGAAACCTAGTATCTCGTCGTTGTGTGAAGCAGTCTGGTAAGCGCAGGTTTAAGGAACTCAATTTCTGTCTTCGTCAATGAAAATGATGGAGCAGAAACACCGGTATTGTTGCCAACCTTACCCATAGCAAATGACTCGATGATTTCCCTGCCAAATCTCTTATTGTGCTCCCCTATATCTTTTATATAGCAAAAGCAAAGTGTGCAGTCATCGCATGTACCGACATAAAGAACGATGGGGTAAAGGGACTCGTCGGAGACTTTTGAAACCTCCAGGTCTTGTTCTCTGAGTCGGTGGCTCACACATTGGCCGGTTTGACCAATATACTGGCCCCCGCAGCTAAGGGGACAGAGTAGACCTTTCTTCGCACTCAAAATACTTGGTTGCGTGTGTGACACTACGCCCTTATGGAACGTCGCTCATATTGACTGTTTGGCACATCTGGTTCAGGCGCATGCGACAGGAAACGAGAGCATCAGAGTTTAAATGATCTCTCTTTTCATCCAAGAGTTGTTGACGCCTTTCTTGTGTTTGTGTGTGTGTGTGTGTGTGCGTGCGTGCGGGGAAGGGGGTTCTTTTTTCATTCTTGTTTGTTGCCATTTGAAAGATCTGTTCTAAGCTCTATTCTATGTGTTCACTCTTTCGTATGTATATCAAGCTCTATGAAGTTAGATTGTGTTAAGAATAATGGCTGACAGGTTTATATTTAACACTTAGTGGAGGATATCAGTTAGTCATCTACTCCAGAGTGCTAGCTAGGAATAAATCGAGCGTGCGAGGTAAGTTTCTTATATCAAGGTATTCATGAACACAATAGGATTTATTTTGATCATTACATGGCGTGTTTTTTTTTTTCTTTCTTCAAAGCTGTTCTTGAAGACAAAGGTTTTATTTTTTTCCCCACAAACGGTGGAGGAATGAAACGGTTCTTCTCGTGACATGGTTGACATCAACCTGAAAAGATTACTGTACGAATTGTTTAATGTTAATTTGTTTTTCACTTTTTCGTTATATAATGTTTTTATATATGTCGTCATTTGTTTGTATTTTGTGAACTGTTTGGTGCACCTTCTGCTAGAACCGCCTCATGATTTTGGCGGTATTCCTAAATAAATATATGAAACGCGCAATATGTAGGTGGCTTCAAAGAGCGATGTAAATAGAGTCAGACACCCGCCTACATATAAAATAAAATATTTACTCTTCAAAGAAAAACTATAAGCACTTTATTGTTTGCCTCTGAGGGTGTCTGATGTTGTAAGAAGACTCCTAGGCGGACGATTTGCGAATACCTTCTTTGTCTTCTTGGAAAAAAACACACAAAAAAACACGAAAAGTCACGAACAAAATGGCAACCAAAAAGTCCAGCACTCAATAGTTCTCCGAAGGAAGTACACTCCAAAAACAGCCCGTGCGTCCACTTTCCCGCAGAACACTGAGAGAACCAATCACCGCAACTTACGGAGGCAGCTCAGCGAATGACGATGCCGAAACATCTGTTTAGACCAAAAAACGCAGTCTGAGTTGTGACATTAAGAAGCAATGCAAGCGTGACGTTTTGCATTCCTTAATGTCACAACTCAGACTGCGTTTTTTGGTCTAAACATATCATTCGGCATCGTCATTCGCTGAGCTGCCCCCGTAAGTTGCGGTAATTGGTTCTCCAAGTGTTCTGCGGGAAAGTGGACGCACGGGCTTTTTTTAGAGTGTACTCTGACGCTGAGAACTGAATAAACCGCATTACCTAATTACATTTTCCGGGGGACTCTACAATCCCCACAAGCTCATAATGTTCGAACCTTTTGTCTTGACTTCGATCGTCGACTGCATTCGTCGCAATTGTTCCAAGCTAAAGTGTTCGCGCCAATCTCCCACCTTACCCTTTCGCACGTAATTGAACCTAGTGGAGTCAGGTTCCGAAACTTCCGTCTCAATGAACAACGAAGTCGAAGAAAAGTTCGGATTCTTCATGAACAAAGCCTGAACTTCGTCTAACCGAGTCTCCAAAATAGTCTTCATAAAGGGAACCGAGCTCTTGTACACCACTTCCTGGAGGATGTCGGCGTCGTCCATCAGGGTTTGTGCGTACTTCTCGCCCAGGAAGCGGGCTAGCTTGAGTACCGTCCCCGACGTGTCCTGGGCGATCTCTTCGTAGGTCACCACGAACACATTCGGTTCGCAGGCGCGATCACAGCCACCCCGAACGTGATCGAAGAAGTCGCCGAAGCCCCAGTCTCCCCTGAGAAAAGCGGCAATGAAATCGTCGAACGTGCCTTCTTGGAATCCAAATGCCGGCAGGGCCTTGACGAAGTGGTAGCACGACACGCAACAGTCCCAGGGACTTCGCGCGACGTAGATATATTTGGCCTTCCTGTTGAAGTGGAGCTTGTCGAAGGGCAGATGCGTTCGAACTGTTCTAGGGGCCGCTCGGCCCCGGAAAGCGGCTTCCCCTTGAAACTCTAGGAATGGTGCCCTGTCCACGAACTCGAGGTAGTTGGCGCTGGACCGACCTTCGTTGAGGATGAGCTGCGTGATCTGTTCCACCCAGTGACTTCCGCACTTTGGAAAGCTGATTTGGATGATGTCGCCGTCCTCGGGAAGGAACTCGAATGCCTTCTGCAGCATTTTGGGGTCCACGAAAATGTTCCACGGGACATTGTGGATCATTTGGACTCGAGGAGCCGGTCTCAAGGAAAGCGCGTCCTTGCTGAATGCCTCTGAGGCAGGTCGCGCTTTGTGCTATGAAAAGAAAGAGAAGCAGAAAGATGTTAGTTTAGTATAAAGAAACGGGAACTTGTAAACACTTTAACGCGTTGCCATTGAAACTTTACTCCAGTTCATATGAGTGCTGCACCGCATTATAATGCGGTCCAACACTCGTACGACTAAAATACAGGGCTGCATCAGCGCTGCTTTTTCCGGTAACTCAGCGCCCAGTTAGAGCAGAATTTTGTGAGTACGCTGTAAAAGGTGGGGTCACTGAGTTTACGCTCATACAAACCAAATTCAGCGTTGTGTACGTGTCTAGCACTGAGTTTGCTCTGTGATGTTTGTGCGAACAGGACTTTAGGGCCCGGTCTAGAGAAAAAAATTGGCAGCGGCCTTTATCTTTGAAGTCCTATAATGCATCAAACAGAGTATTTGAAGGGTGATAGTTTAGATTTATTTAGAGGGCATTAAGTAGTCGTTCTGTGGAGTGAAGAACCTATATTTTTATTAATTTCCTCGCTAAATGTAACAGGGGAAATGAATTGGTACATAGGTAACGTGACGTCAATTTTGCCGCTAAATTTAATGGGAAACTACATTGGTGCAATAGGTGACGTGACGTTAGTTCACGAAATATAAATTTTCTTGTGAAATGAAGCAGACAAACTGACCTGATTTATAGGCCACGTGACGTCAAATCACGTGACACCTATTTCCCCCAGATTAAGCGAGAAAACTGCATTGGCGCATAGGTAACGTGACGACAATTATCCAGCTAAATTTATCCCGAAATGCACGGACGGGTGGTCAAAATATTGGGATGGGGGGGGGGGGGGTCCTGTACAAGTCTTTTCATTAATGAATAGTCTCACGATGACTTGCTATCCGCGCCCGCTGCGGAGGTCCAGGTCGGCCTCGGCCGATTTTTGGCACATAGATCTCCTCGTGATTTACATTTGCCAGTGAACAAAGCGGAGCAGAATTTTTTGTCTGGATTCTGATTACAGCTATTCTAACGGCACGCTACAGGTATCGAATTATGCCTAGTCGTGCAAAACGTACGCACCACACGAAAAAGAGTATTAATGCCGTATGAGCCATCCCCAAGGGGGAATATTTACTCATGTATACACAATTATGACGTTTCTCATTAGTAAGAATAAACTCAGGGGCTCAATTAGAAACTTTGAGAGCATCTTCGAAACCTCCTAAATCACTGAACTTTAGAAAGCCGCCAGAAGCGTGGCTGTGCGTAAACGTTATCGAAGGAAGCAAACACGAAGGTGATAAATGCGAGAACCGTCTGGGTACGGGGTCTTTGGACACAGACCCGGATATTGGACCCCTTTGCTCCAAATCATTCTCAAATTGTCTGATTTAGTTGTTTTCGCTGATCACAGACAACTTTCTAATAGAAACTATGGGCTTGCTTTCACTAACTAAGAAGCTAATTATGCAACATTAATAAACACATAAAACGCCTCTTGCTCTAATAAATAGGCCCCATGGCAATGACTGCCCTAGTTCCAATTTTATACCTGTAAAATGCATAGTTTTTACGCCAGAATTTGGCCTTCATTTCGCAAAACACGCGGCATACAGAGTGTACCACCAACGACTGAGAACCATACTGAAAAGAATGCTTTAAACAAAACAATGATTCCTTCTGGATGACGCTGCTCATTGGTGCTCACGTCCGGATAGGAATGATAAGGAATAACAAGCAACATAATCTCATGAAGTATGCTCATTAACATTAAAAATATTTGCACAATCGGGCACCTTCCGATTGGAGTCTCGTTGCCCATCGTCTAATTGTGAAATAATTGGGGTCATAATCTGGACACTTGGCGAACAAGTCGGTGAGAAATCGGGCGGCTATGATTGGCCGGCGCCAAGGTCAAGTGCAGCGTCGGCCAATCACGGCCGCCAGATTTCTCGACGACTTTTGCGCCAGGTGTCCAGATTAGGGCCCCTGTACTCAGAAGACACGAAAACAAAAACCTTCCTCACTTCATGCAATGCGAAACTAGGCCGCCTATAGGCCGACACGCGGAGCGACTCTGTTTACCAACACGGCCGGGAGGCCGCGCATGCGCGGTAGCTATGTGGGCAAAAGCAGCCCGGCTTTCCGTGTTTTCGCCATTGCGTTCTTTGGCGTGAGCTTGTTGTTGACGTTGTAGGGACGGTTGTATCTTTATTTGTGCGTCGTATTTCCTGACAACGTATGTCGTAGGCTATGCCCGACTATTTTAGCTCGTGGCCCGAGCCTGAACGGCAGCGGTATCGAAACAAACTTTGCGTGGACGGCGTTGCCAACGAGGATCCGTACGCCGTAAACCAGGCCTGCTGGACTTCCGACGTAAAGTTGCTGCCACCGAAGTCGACGGCTCACGTCGTCGTTTATTTAGTTGTTTCGCCAAGCCAGTTCACGGCCGACATGGTGAAGTTGTACAAGTCTTTCGAGGCCTACGATTACTTCGAAAGGGTTTCCGCACTGCCGGCGGGATCAGCAGACTGTGGGTCTGCGGAAGTGTGTGTGTTCATTAATTGATTAAATACACACAGTGTCTTCAAGTGAAGGTATGATATATTTCCTACCCTCATGACCACAAAGCATGACAAGCAGTAACGCTTTGTCCGTTCTGCACTCTTGGCGGTAACAGGTTACAAGTAACGGCGTTGTTGGTAGCGCGTTACTTTCTTCAGTAACGTAGTAACCTACTCGTAACGTTTTCGACACATAACGGGTAACCTGCTTACGTCACTATTTCAAGTAACGTAGTTACGTTACTCGTTACTACTTCCTAAGTCTTAAAGAAATTACACTTCAATTTTTTCGCGTTTTAGGCGTCAAGCCATGCTTTTCTTTCGTTTTTACTCCTGAGTATTTAGGTGAAACCGTAAAAAGAGATAAAGCAATTATTTTCAGTTTCTGCATGAACATAATGTTCCTTGATATATGACCTGTATCGTTAAAACCGTAAATTGTGTTAAATCATTATTTAAAAAAAAAGCAACGCAGAAGCAGGGATGGGCAAAATACATGCAAATATGTACTGAAATACAAATACAAAATACTTCGTCAAAAATGTATTTAATTACAAATATAATTACATTTCTAAAAAAGCATTTAAGTACAAGATACAAATACAACCAAATATATTTGGTCTCCTCCAAATACTTTTCTAAATACATATATCTCAACATTTGCATCAGCGACTTCAGGGCACCTGCAACGGGTTTCTGGGTATCTCATTTTAACTTTGCATCGCACACTCGGCAGTTAGTGTGCGAGGCTCTAGTAACGTAATAGAAATATAATCACAAAAAATATAATCAGCTTGGACGTAGTAGGTGAAAAAAGTACAGAGCTTCAAGCAGCTTTTTTTGTCGATTACATTTCGGTATAGACCAACAAAGAACCGAGACGGCCAAGACGCGCAGCACTAGCTAGAGAATTTTTTTATTGTTGCAATTCGCACCAGTTACGAAAGTCTGGACGACCCGCGCATTTAGAATGTTCCAGGCAAAAATATGGATGGAAATCAGGCTGGAAAGCATCACAAGTTGTCACAGGCACTTATTTAGCTAGTCTGCCTGTGAACGCCGATATCGTCACTATTCTTGAACTGGACTAGCACCGTAATCACAAAGTCACTAAACGCTGGTGCTTGATTGAGAGACACTGCTTTCGGTGCAGAACGTAGTTTTCTTCTTGCTCTGGACAGTGACAATAACTTTGAGGGATGTATTTTCGCCCACAAAATTGTATTTAATTACAATTGTATTTAAAATACTCACCTTTTAGTATTTAAATACACACGTCAAATACATTGCCCAATTTGTAATTAAATGCAAATACGTATTTCAAACACAAAGTGTTTGAAATGCGTATTTCAAATTGTATTTGAAATACTGCCCATCCCTGCGCAGAAGTAACGTGCGTTACTTTTTATCGGTAGCGGCAACGCGTTCCTTTTATTTTTAGGTAACGTAGCTCAGTAACGCGTACCTTTTATTTGCAAGTAACGAGTAACGTATTTCGTTACTTTTTTTCGGTAACGCCTACAACACTGCCGTTCTGTTGCCGATCCCCTTCTGCTGGGTAGCACGGGCGTAGCGAGCCTCCGACGAGCGCTTGGCCGATGCTTTGTGCGCGAACGCCATGGGAACAAAATTCGAGTGGTCTCGATCAGACAACAGTTTCCCTGCACATAAGCAAGCCTCGGGACGGAGATTGAAATGGAAGCCGCAGTTGCCTTCAGGAAAGTGTTTGCCGCACAAACGGTCGATCGCGTGAGGCGACCATTCTTTTCGATCCACGGGTATTATCCACTTTCTATGCCTTTCAGAGTCTGCCGGGAACTTGTGGAAACTCACTCCGCCGCTTTGCTTGTACATTTCGGTGCAATGAACGGCAACACAGCTTCGCGGCATGCTTAAATGCTATGACGCCCGTGCAAAACGTGCGCCCTTCTGCCCACACCCCCCCCGGCTCCGGAGCGATCGCAGCGCCGCCGCAGCTCCGTGATGTCAAGCTCGAGTGTCGGTCTATACTTCGTCTCAGCTTAAAGACCAACGACCAGTTCGCGCTTTCCCCGCTTTCCCCCGCTTCCTCTCTCCCCCCTTCTACCATGTCCAGCTTTACCTGTTTCTTTCTCCTCCGTGATGAGGAGGATCTTATGCCTTGCAGAATCTCGAGTCTGGCCGACAGTCGACGGCCTTTAAGTCTAAATGGGATCAGTCAACCAGCGTCGAAAGCGCAAGTCACTGAGCCTCTTTTGTGTATGATTGGTTCGGTGGTGATTGAATGCTTACAGAAACATGACGAACACCATTTTGTTCACTTTTGACGCTATTTGATTGGCCCCATCAACTCATTAAACGAAGTAGGGTCTCCTATTTTTAAACGAATCCGAAAAAAAGAGCCGATAGCTTCTCGCCCGACAAAACAAAGTATACACCAACCATAGAGTTATTATACAATAAACGCTAGCGGTTCAGCTGGCGCTAGTGCTACG